AGCACGTCCTGGTGGTGCACGAGCCCAACACTCCGTGGCACTTGCACACCGTCTTCATCTTCTCCTCCAGCACCTGGCGGCGCGTGGGGGGGGAGAGAGAGACGAGAGGGCAGGAGAGCATCGGGGAGGTAGGTGGGGACAAGGGGGGGGGGGGGGGAGACAAAAGACAGAGAGAGAGAGAGACAGAGAGACACAGAGAGACACAGAGAGACAGAGACAGACTTTGACTTTAATAATTTTATTACACCAGCGGCAATTGTGCTGGAGTTTTCCAATATATGAGCCTTTATGGCAACACACAAACATGTAATAAAAGACTCCGTCAGCCACTGCTGGTCTCCGCTTGTCTTCTATTTAGGTTCTTCTCCGCACCCCGCTGGTCTCCTCCACGGACCAGCGTCGTCTCCTCTCGCGTGCCACGCACGCTCCTCCGTTAGCTCCTCTACTCCCGCACTCCGCACCCCGCTGGCCGACGGCGTGCTGAGGACCTTCGGCCACGTGGCCGATGGCGCGGATCTCTCACCACCCAGCGTGGCTCAGACTCTCAACTTCCCGACTGCCCCGATCTCTTCCGGGCTCCCACTAATATCCCCCCACGTGATCCTGACTCCTCTCCTTCCGGATCGTCAGATCCGGCCTTCCCATACTGCCCCGCTGGCTCCGCCCCCATTCACCTCGCCTCCCATTGGAGCCGAGGTGAACGGTGGCCCCTCCCACACGCCCCGCAGACCAGGCTCCGCCCCCCAATACCCCGGCGCGTGATTGGACCAGAGCCCAGCAACAACCCCATTTACACTATGAGACACCTCCTTTACCAGTGGCAAAATATAGTGATAGGTTTTTACCCTTTCAACTGGTACAAAAACTGACATGTTTGCAAGAACCACAAGAACCACAACACAAGCAGTCAAAATGCAAACAAAAAGAAACAACTCTGATGATGATAATGATATGCACTGTCCTTGAAGTTAATTGGTCCACACTCGAGACAGCTTTCCTTAGCTAAAAATAAGCATTGTGCCGGAAAAATGACGAGGAGAAGAGGTAGGATAATGGGGGGTGGGAAGGGGGGGGGGAGAGAGTGGGGAGGGGTGATTTTGTTTTCAGCGCCTGCGTTGGATTGGATCTGGAGGAGTGCTTGGTGTGGGGAAATCGCTGACACCTTGCGCCCGGCGGCGTTGTTGTGCAGGTTCATGAGCGTGCGTGCGCTCCGCTGGACCTCGCGCGCGTCCACGAAGAGGCGCGAGAACTCGAGGCTGTGGCTGAGGTCGGCCGAGCAGCCGCCCTGTGCATCGTAGAAGCCGCCCTGCTTGGCGCCGTCGCCGCACCAGCTCCGGTCGCCCCGGCCGCACGCCGCCGTGATGGCGTACGCCACGGCCGCCGCCATCACGGCGTGCGCGAAGGCCGCTTCTCGGCTACCTGCTCGTGTCGGGGAGCCCACGCAGGGGGGGGGGGGGCGGTGTGAGCAGCAGGGTGGTGGAGCAGGGACGCGTGGGAGGTGGGGGGGGAGACGCGGGTCGCGGTGATGTGGGGAAACAATTGATCGGCTGGATAAGGCAACTGCTGTATCATAGCTCACGGGCAGCCTGCTGATAATGGAGTCCTCTCTGAGGAGATACCAACTGGGTCAGGTGTGCGACAGGGGTGTCTCCCTATGTCACCGGTGTATTCATGTTGTGAATGGAGCCCTTTGCCCAGGCGGTCAGGGGAAATCAGCGGATTAAAGGGGTGTAGGGAGCCAGAAAAATAGCCATGTGTATGGACGATGTCGTCATTTCAGTGGGATGTCTCCTCGGTATGGGAGGCCCTAGGACTCGCGGATAGATTATTTTTGGCCTCGGGATCTAACGTAAATGTGAGGAAGAGTGAGATGCTGATCTTCAGTGACCCCAGGCTATTCGAGGGCCGTCCACCGGTATAACGGTGCTGGGAGAGGGATCAAGATCCTAGGGGTCAGCTTCTGTTGGCAGGACTCGGCGACGAAGCATTGGATGGGAAGGGAGAGGGCGGTGAGGGTCGGGCCGGCCGGCCGCGGCGGACAGGCGCCTTCCAATGGAAGGTAGAATGTTAGTCCCGAGGGTGGAAATCCTCCCGGCACTTATCTACCGGGCCTACGTGATCTCGCCGGGCGCACAAATGGCGAAAAGACTGCCAGCGAATGTTCTTCAGGTTCATCTGTGGGGGGGGGGGGGGGGGGGGGCGCGACGGGCCGAGTGGAACGGGAAACGATGTATATAATAAAATCGTCGAGGAACGGTGGGAGGGGCGCCCCGAATATCACGTGCACCCTCGCCACGATCCTGTGTCCTGCGACACGCTGCGCCTGTATTTCTCCAATGGAACTCCAGGTGGAAGCCTCGTTACATACGGCACAGGCAGGCGTGGCTCCTGCGGTGGCTTGGCACCCCCGTGGCTTGGCCTCAGGGGTGATCGTGCACCGCGGCAAGCGAACACGTTGTGAAGCGTGAGCCGGCCCAGACACGCGCGTCGTGGATTCCCAGGGACGTCCTGGCGGAGACGTCTAAGCAGCAGGCTGGTACAGAGGTGCCAGGTGCACGGGGTGCCGTGCACCGACTACTTTAGAAAAACGTAACATCGCCAGCCCTGACGAAAAGGCAATGGGATTTATCCTGGCTGGCGGCCTGGGACAGGCCGGAATAAAGACGTTCATGTGTTCCCGAAGATTGGCCCGCACCCTCAGTGCCCATTTGCTCGGAGGTGTGGGAGTTATGTCAGCCTCTGCTGCCTCATTTTTGTCCAGTAAGGCCACATTGCCCAATACATTTGGGGGATGTTCAGACAGAGGGCGGGGGAGGTCTGGGCTCAGGCGTGGGCCGTCGTAAGCGCCGTGAAGGAGGCGGCCCTGTGGGCGGCGCGCGGGAGAGTGATTAAGGGCACCTGCATGTCGGCCGTTGGAAAGGGTGGTGTAGGTGGAGACAGAGATGGTGGGCAGTGACGCTGCAAATGAGAAATGGCGGTGGCCTCCACCCCCGTGTGGCACAGAGTTTGAGGACGGCCTCCGCTGCGAGGGTAGGCGGATTCATGTTTCTTCCCTGGCGACGGTAAACTTGTTCGCTCAAAGGTTGTGTGCAGGATGTGTTTCTCGTGTTTCATACTCGGTGCACCTGCTGTCAGGGAGAGTGGTGCAGGCACTGGTTGTTACAACAGGATCACCGGCTCGGGTTGTGGTCATGATTTCTCCTGTTCTTTTTCCTGTTCTAGGCAGAGGACTGCCCATGATTGAGAAATGAAAAAACTTTTAAATAAATAGAACGTGGCGCGTTGCGAGTTCTAGAATTCAGAGAGAGACGCACAGGGTGACCGCACACCGCGGGTCCGCCCCTCTGCCGAACTGACGCCGAGTCGGGGCGCTCACCGCCTGGGAGCTCCTGGCCGAACACCGTCTCCTCCCCCAGCGCCGAGCAATTCCAGCGGCTGAATCGGAACTGGTGCCGGCACTCGCCGATTCCCAGGCGCGCACCCTCGCCGACCGCGACCATCGCGTCCGGGTGGCTCCGGCACAGCGCCCGCTGCTGTGGCGTCAGTCCCGGAATCTTGCCGCAGATCGTGTCCGCGGACAGCGCCCTGCAGCCATCGGGCAGGCAGACGGACGCACGGACGGGCGCGTGGACGGAGAGCCGCCCGGCGGCACCGTGACCAGCGCGAGCGAACGCAGCAGCAGCAGCAGCGTGCAGACTTCTCCCTCGACGATCTTCACAGCGACCCGACATCGCCATCGCAGCCCCCCCCCCCCCGTCACAACGCCGCGCGACGAGCCCGGCTTCTCGACGAGCCCGGCTTCTCTCTCTTACCCCACTCGCGAGTAGAAGAAGGCCGCCGTGAGAGCAGCAGCAATGCGCAGGAGGAGGAGGGGGCGGTGCGGCGGTGCCCAGCGGTGGACGCGCGCGCCGCATGGCGCCGTCTGCCGCGTGGCCGAGGCGCTGGCGCGCGCCATCTCGCGGAGTGTCACAGTGCCGCTGTGACGAGTCGAGCCAGACCACCTCGTCACACGCAGCAGCAGCTACACACACAGTGACACTAAGCTACACACAGTGACACTCAGCTACACACACACACCTACACACAGTGACACTCAGCTACACACACACACCTACACACAGTGACACTCGGCTACACACAGTGACACTCAGCTATACACAGTGACACTCAGCTACACACACACAGCTACACACAGTGACACTCAGCTACACACAGTGACACTCAGCTACACACAGTGACACTCAGCTACACACACACAGCTACACACAGTGACACTCGGCTACACACAGTGACACTCAGCTATACACAGTGACACTCAGCTATACACAGTGACACTCAGCTACACACACACAGCTACACACAGTGACACTCAGCTACACACACACAGCTACACACAGTGGCACTCGGCTACACACAGTGACACTCAGCTACACACACACAGCTACACACAGTGACACTCAGCTACACACAGTGACACTCAGCTACACACACACAGCTACACACAGTGACACTCAGCTACACACACAGTGACACTCAGCTACACACACAGTGACACTCACCTACACACACATAGCTACACACAGTGACACTCAGCTACACACACAGTGACACTCAGCTACACACACACAGTGACACTCAGCTACACACAGTGACACTCAGCTACACACAGTGACACTCAGCTACACACAGTGACACTCAGCTACACACAGTGACACTCAGCTACACACACACAGTGATATTCAGCTACACACACACAGCTACACACACAGTGACACTCAGCTACACACACAGTGACACTCAGCTACACACACAGTGACACTCAGCTACACACACAGACACTCACCACACACAGTGACACACACCTACACACACAGACACTCACCACACACACAGTGACACACACCTACACACACACACTCACCACACACACAGTGACACACACCTACACACACACAGACACTCACCACACACACAGTGACACACACCTATACACACAGACACTCACCACACACACAGTGACACACCTACACACACAGAGACACTCACCACATACACAGTGACACACACCTACACACACACAGACACTCACCTACACACACAGTGACACACACCTACACACACACAGACACTCACCACACACACAGTGGCACACACCTACACACACACAGACACTCACCTACACACACAGTGACACACACCTACACACACACAGACACTGACCTACACACACAGTGACACACACCTACACACACACAGACACTCACCACACACACAGTGGCACACACCTACACACACACAGACACTCACCTACACACACAGTGACACACACCTACACACACACAGACACTGACCTACACACACAGTGACACACACCTACACACACAGACACTCACCTACACACACAGTGACACACACCTACACACAGACACTCACCTACACACACACAGACACTCACCTACACACACAGACACTCACCTACACACACAGTGACACACACCTACACACAGACACTCACCTACACACAACAGACACTCACCTACACACACACAGACACTCACCTACACACACAGACACTCACCTACACACACACAGACACTCACCTACACACACACAGACACTCACCTACACACACAGACACTCACCTACACACACACGGCTGCAGCAGTTGTGTGAACACCGCGTGGTTGGGAGGCAACCAATGATGACCACGCGCGACTTGGCCGTGGTGAAATCCTCTATGAAAAGTAGTTAAGGGGCCGTCCATAAATGACGTCACGCCAGGTGCGTGACGTCATTTTAATGACGGCCCCTAATCGATGCACACAAACACATTCAGAATAATTGATTCTCGATGGGCTTTAATTGATGAAGCAAGCAGGTGTAATCAATTCCGTCGTGTGTTCTAATTGCCCAAATCGCGCTGTGAGATGCACGTGCACGTGGCACCTTGACCAAGTCATTCAGGAAATGTGAGCCACATCTCACGCCCCTCCGCCCCCAGAGCCACGACACCATTCACCACCCTCGCCGGTGGGATACACGTCGTCACCTCATCGTCGTGTTGTCGATGACAGTCACTTCACACACATCGTCGTGCGGATCCACCTCGTCACGGGAGAGCCGGGACTTTCCAAATAAAAACGAAGCAATTGGCAACATTGTTACTGGTAGGAACCTCCTGGTTACACCAGCCCACAGGGGATTATTGTGTCCGTCCGTCCGTCCGTCGTGCAGGGAGGGGCTGGGTGGGGAGGGGTGGGGCTGGGTGGAGAGGGGAGGGTGGGGAGGGGCTGGGTGGGGAGGGTGGGGCTGGGTGGGGGGTGAGAGGGGTGGGGCTGGGTGGGGGTGGGAGGAGTGGGGCTGGGTGGGGAGGGAGGGGCTGGGTGGGGAGGGTGGGGCTGGGTGGGGAGATGCTGGGTGGGGAGGGGCTGGTCACCCCGTGGTGCCCTTATAAAACTCAACGTTTCACCTACTCACGCCGGCTTGTGCCCGCCCTCACAGTCGGGCATATTTGCGGAATACACCACGCCGCCGTTGACCCTGCAGGCCATTGACCGAGCAACCCAACGTTCCTGCCAGCTCCCTCCGCAGGAATGTGTTTCTGTTCATTTCCCATCACAACAACGGCAACAAGGAAATAACCTAAGAGTTAAATATTACCGCGTGATGGAATAAATTATCCTTCACTTGTTGCACTAAGTGGAGAGGAATTTACTGTTGCGTTGCACAATTCGTTGAACAAATTGTGATAGCCTTGTGACCTTTACCACTGACACATCGCCCCAAACAAGACGTACATTTTTATCTTGATCAAGGGTTATTAAAGGCCCGAACATTACAACTCTGTGTGCGTTTTTTTTTGTTAGATTCATTTGGCAAGGGAAACTAGTTGGCTTTCCCTCTGCTCCACTCGCTTGCCACTTTGTCCTGCCACACCCACCCAGTGTGTCACCGCGCTAGTCTGCCATCACGAACCAGAGGAGATGAATGGTGAACATTTAACAGAGAAATGGAACATTTATGCTGGTCTTTGGAAACAGTTTTAAACAATCCAGGACGGTTTGCTTTCGTGGAAACATTCCAACCGAGATTGTATTTGTTTGGGATGTCCCAGCGGCAGTCGAGGTTTTTGGCAATGATCTGCAGGGATGGTGCGTTTCCGTTCCTAGCCGCGAGGTCATATCCTCGTTACTGCGCCGTCCGTGAGCGTTGGTTCACGTTCCGAGCAGTGAGGAAGTCCGCTTATCTTGCTTAAGTTGTTGAGTTGCGTCGGCAATAAACCCAAAGGGCAACCTTACCTGGTAAATACAGTAAACCATCTAGTCAACCACTGTAGTCTTCGTTCCTGCAATGAAGGAATAACAAAGCTACACCAACTCTCTCCCGGAGCCCTCTTCTGGCGAGCCGACCTCGACGTTTTCATGCATCTCGTGAACATATTGCCAGAATTGGAGTAAATTGTGATATGGTGCCACCTAGTGGCGATACAGCTCAGGGGAGTCTTTTATGTAAACAGGCGGCAAAGCCGAGTGAGAGATTCATGTTCATCATTATCAACCAAAATTAAATCCTATGCTGGATGGAGGCCTCTCCAAGCTGTCATCATCACATTTTCTTGCAATGCAACAATCCACGGAGCACCTGCATACGAGCTGATTTCAGAGCTCTCCACCTTAGATCTTTAAAGGTGCATTTGAAATAGTTTTTATACTCCTACTGATGCTCCTGCTGTTGTGGAGCGACTCATGCAGCCAGCTTTGGCTACAGGGTTTGGTGGAACGTGCTTTGTGTCGTTTATTGTGACATTTCGGTCACAGTTCCTATGATCACTGTTACATTGCTTATGGCTTCATTTTGGTGATTTCAAAAGTTTTTTGGTTTGGCCATGTTTGTTTGTTGTAGTACAGTTAGAATGATGGCTTTAATCTAAGTTGTCTTGTGGTTGTTGTTGTTTGACTGGCATCCCACTGGGATTTTTGCACAGCGTTGGTGTACAGTGCTTTTTTCTGGAAGACTTTGCAGTTTTTCCCTGGATTTTTAATCCTTTATAATAAGTTCACTTGCTTGCGTGCTTGCTTGCTTATGACCGTGCAAATCTTTCGGTCGTTTTTTAACCCACTTCCCGTGATCCAATCGAGCTGACATTTTGCACACAGACTCGTTGTGCGTGACAATTAATTTGTAAAAAATTTTTCAAAAATTTTACACTGTTTAGGGGAAAAAAATTCAATATTTAATACCAATTGCTTAATGGTGGCAATCATCTGACCCATAGGTGGCAGCCATCTCAAGCCAGAGGAAGAGAGGACTCTAGCCGCCCGTTTCATGATGACGCAAATGTTGACTAACCACATGGCATGAAATCCCTGCCCCCACGCTGTACACTGGAGACTATTTATAGAGCAGTTAAATTGAAGCCGCCAGGTTCTTGAAAGTGGTAAAACGGGTCAACGCTAGTGCCCTCGGGAATATACGGGGCATGTCAAGAGGGGATCTTTCATTTTAAATCCTTTATATTAACTTCACTTGCTTGCTTACTCAAGAAAAACAGAATTGAATAATAAAATGAAACCGATGTGTGTGGTGTGTAGTGTAAGCAATGTGGGATATCGATATACACTGACATGAACAAGATCAGCAGACAAGACGTCTTTCATACTCTTTGGTTCTTTCAGTAAAGTCACGTAGGTAGAAAAAAAAATAATAAATCAAGACGTTTCGATCGCAACACGAGCAGTCGTCCTCAGGCGAAAACATCCAGACATTGTCGCGGCAGAAGTCACGTGAGCTACAGCTGAGCATTGTTGTAATGCGGTGGGCTCACGCGAAATTGATTTCTGTAAGACGAAGGTGCTTTGAAAACCCACTGGCGACGCTCTTTAGTGTCAGTCTCGTGTCCTTGACTCACCACACGGGGACGTCTGGTTGAGGCAACGCGTTTATTGTAACAACTCT